AGGTTTTCCAATTAATACTTAACTCCTTGGCTCATGCTGTCACTTTGTGGCGCAAATTTGTGGACTGACTATTCTGTGTGCTTCAACTATTTGTATCTCAACCCTTAAAGATTCTCAAGGACAAGAATCGTTTCAGAAGCAAAATAATATTGATTCTTCCAAATGACAGAGAATAGATTCATAGAAAATGGTATTGGCTGAATCAGTCTACCTTCACGTACCCTCAGAGTGAATTGGGAGGCATAGTAATATGGTGTTTAGAAGTATGGATTAACCCCTCAAGTGACCTCTTTGATCTATGACTCAAGCTTCATTATTAAATGGGCACAGTAATGGCCAAGCCCTTGCTGCCTCATAGAGACAGAGGATACTCCATCAGAAAAAGACCCACAGCTTCTTACTCATGATGGCTTAGATGAGAACAACACTTTACAGCTCACAAACAGAGTAGCATCAGAAACCTCATCACAAACCTTTGCAGTAGGCAGTCATCCCTATCACTATTTTAAAAAGAGGTGATGGAGGTTCACAGCAAATAAATAATTTGTTCATAGTCATTCAATAAGAAAGAGACAAAATTAGTACTCAAACCCAAATCCCCTGACTCAAGCCCAATACTCTCTCAGTCATGCCACATGGCTACCTCTTCTTGCATGAAACAATTCAGTGATGCAGGCTCCAGATAAAGAGAAAAATCAGCATAAGAAATTTCTATTTCTAAAGATAAATAGATGCCAATAACTTTCACATTCCCCAGCTAAAAATCCTTCTTAAAAAGCCACGGCTGGACCCCATCCTAATGCGACCTTGATGAAAAGATCATATTATGCTGCAGCCTCTTAAACCCTTTTGTCCTACCAAATGTACGTCTCCCTTTGCCTTATTTCCCTTGGTCACAGAAATCACATAGACAGTGGCTAAATGACCGAGGCTACCAGGGATCTATAATAATTCAAATACACAAACATGAGGCCTAATTTTAGACTGTTCCAGGATAGTAGACATTCTGGGAGTCTGCAGTGCTTCTGGTTTGGTTGCCGTGTTTGTGGCTCCTTGTTAATTAGCAGGGATGGCTTAAAGGTCACTCAGAGCAGTCAGCCCCATCATGTGAAATAGAAGGAGGACTGGGGCAGTGAAAATAACTCGAGCTATGAATTGCATTTGGAACCTGTGTTTTTACTAACAGACAAAAGCTTTGTGCCTTGCTGGCTGAGTTCTAACACAGAAATTTCATTTGCTGACCCTGCCAGGGACAAAGAGAACCTGTTTCTTAAATGCAGAAAGGGTAAATGAGTCTCTGCTCATCTGCAAAGGAGCAGACAAGCTATTCACACCAAAAATATACTCTTTACCTTCACATTAGTCACTGGCATTCTGTCTCTGGTCTTCATGACCTTCGAGAAATATTTCTCCACTGACCCAAGGACAGTAGTGACCTTCATGTGTTTTCACAGCATTGCTACAACATGAGAAGCCAGGACGATAGTGGCAGGGACATCTTTATTAGAAGAGAAGTACCCTATATATACTAATCCTTACCTCCAGGTAAATAGAATCTCCAGAAAAGGAGCATACGGTGAAGAGGAAGGGAAGTCCCCACAACAACGTCCACCAACCCTGGGGAGCACAGTCAGTTAATGAGAAGGATCCATTTAACAAATTTTGTGAAACTCTTTGTATTAGTCTGTTCTTACACTGCTAATAAAGACATACCCGAGACTGGGTAGTTTATAAAGGAAAGAAGTTTAATAGACTCACAGTTCCACATGGCTGGGGAGGCCTCACAATCATGGCAGAAGGCAAATGAGGAGCAACGTCATGTCTTAGGTGGTGGCAGGCAAGAGAGCTTGTGCAGGAGAACTCCCATGTATAAAACCATCAGATCTCATGAGACTTATTCACTACCACGAGAACAGTATGGGGGGGAACTGCCCTCATGATTCAATTATCTTCACCTGGCCCCATCCTTGACACATGGGGATTTCTACAATTCAAGGTGAGATTTGGGTGGGGACACAGCCAAACCATACTGCCCCTGTTGTGTGCCAGGAATAATACCAGGTAGTGTGAAAGCAGAAAGGAATCAGTCAGAGTCTCCACCTTCACAGATGGCATAGTGTAACAGAAAAAAATAGATACGCACTTTAAAAACTATTATAGATATTTATTTATAAAATCATTTAGGCAGATAGAGACACGAGCAATCAGTTCTACCTGGGGCTGGGTGGAGGATTCAGAAAAGTCTTCATGAATAAGAGGTCACTTGAACTTGGCAATGAAGGATAAATATAAACACATTTTAGGCACAGAATAACACAAGGAAAGGGCAGCCCAAACGAAGAAAAAGTATGAAAGAAGATAAAGAGTTGCCAAGTACATGTGTGGAGGATAATGACCATTTTCTGATAGCCTCAGCCAACAAAAGATTTTAAGTAGAAGGTATAGGGTCAGCTTTGCATGTTAGAAAGGGGATTCTGATGGTAGTGTGAAATGTGGAAGAGAAAAAGCAAGCATCTGAGCCAGGAGTGACTATATAGGAAACTACTTAAATAGACAAGGGGAGAAGAGATGAAGACCTGACCAAGACTAAGACCATGAGGGTGAGAGGAAAAATCTTCTATCTCATAAAGACACTGAATGCTGTTGATAGATTTTTAAAATCTTATTTTTACAGTGAACTCAATGTGTGGATGGTTCTAGAGTCAGCAGAGCACTTTCATCTTCATGATCTGATGCCCATCATTCCCTAAACCCAGTGACGTAAGCAGAGAAATTATCTAATGATGCCATTTTAGCATCATTAGAAGTGGAAACGATGCAGTTTTATAAACTGGAACTTTTAGAAACTGAAACAAAAAACAAATGAAGACGAGGGGTGGAGGTCAGGGTGTGGGGAGGGTAGCCCAGAGCATGGAAGAGCCAGGATAGCCAGCCTCAGAGACACAGGCAGGAGCAAGGGTGCCTGAGGGTCAGGGGACAAGGAGCATCGGGAGAACAGAACAACAACCAGAAAAGGGGGTGGGGTGGCAATCTCCTTTCCGACACTTGAAAAAAGAGAAGAAAATCTTGCTTGACTCCACTTTTCTTACATGCTACTGTTCCATTCCTCAAAAACATTCTTTTTGCTTGCTGTTCCCAAATCCTCTTTTCCCATTCGCTCTTGAACCCATGCTAAAAAGGCTTTCTGCACCACCACCCCATAGCAAGTCTTGTCAAAATCATAAAAATGCCTCTAACTTAATCATCAATTACCAGTCTCCATGTCACCCATGCTATCTGAAGCCTTTAACACAGTTGATCACTTCCCCCTTTTTTATTACACTCTTCCCTTGGCTCCAGGACCCCTCATTCTCTGGGTTTTTCTCTTACCTCACCGGTTTCTCCTTTATGGGTTCCTCCTCTCCTATGACCTCTTCATGCTAGAGTGGCCCAGGGCTTGGACCTTGGTCATCTTTTCTATTTGTATTCCCTTCCTTGGTGATCTCAGTTACTTGGCTTTGAGTTTCCTCTGTATGCTAAAGACTTACAAATTTAAACCTTTATACCTTCAACCCAGACCTCTCTCCCAAATTCTAGACTTGTATATCTAACTTCCCATTCAACACTTCTGTTTTTCTAAATAAATATTTCAAACTCAACATAAAAAAAAAACTAAACTTCTAATCCTCCTCTCTCCCCAAAAACTTGTTTTACCTTCCGGTATCACTATCCTTCCAGTTGTTAGGTAAAATATCTTGGAGTCCCCTTTGGCTTTCTCACTCTTTACATCCAATCTAGCAGCAATTCTGCTGGTTCTAGCTTCAAAATGCATCCAGAATCTAGTCACTCATCATAATCCCTCTGCTACCATCCTATTCTAAGCCTCCACTATTTCTCATCTAGATTACTGCCTGTTATAGCTTAAACTGTGTTTCTCTCTCCCCCTTCCCTCTCTGCTTTCTCCAAAGGTGTTAAAATCCTAACCCTCAGGACATCAGAATGTGATCTTATTTGGAAACAGTGTCATTGCAGATGGAATCAAGTTGAGATGAGGTCACATGGGTGGGACCTTTTTTCAATATGACTGGTATCCTCAAAAGAGGGGAAAGTTTGGATACAGAGAGACACACAGAGAGGGGAAATGATGTGGATACACCTAGGAAGAGGACAGCCATTAGAAGGCAGAGGCAGAAATTGGAGTTATGCTGCCACAAGCCAAGGATTACCTGGAGCTACCAGAGGCTAAAAGATGCAAGGAAGGGTCTCACCTAAACGCCGCAGAGAGAGCACGGCCTGACTGATACCTTAATTTCAGACATTTCACCTCCAGAACCCTGAGATAATAAATTTATATTGTTTTAAGTCACCAAGTTTGTGTTATTTTATTACAGCAGCTCCAGGAAACTAATACACTGCAATAGCCTCCTAACTCCTCTCTGCTTCTACTCTTTCTCCCCAGCCCTTGAATGTGTTTTCAGTGGAGCAGCCCAAATAATCCTTTCACTGTAAATAATGCCCTGTCACTTCAAAACAACACAACATTCTCAAATGTCACTACTCAAAACTCTCCCATGGCTCTCCATCTCATTCAGAAGAACAGCAAAGTCCTCCTAATATACAGGTCTATGAGGCCCTGCATGTTCTCTCTCCTATGGCCTCTAATCACATTTTTCTCCTCTTCCTCATGTCCTCTGATCTAGCCTCTTTGATTTCTTTATGCCTGTCACATCTTCTCACATTTTAGCAGTCTGCCTGGAAAAATATTTCTCCAGGTATTCACAGCCTTCAAGCTTTTGCCTAAATTTCTCCTTCTGGAAGTGCCTTACCCTGACCATCCTACTTAATGCTGTAAATTGCCCTGCTCTTCTCTAAATCCTAATGTTAAATTTCTCAACCTTGATCTTTCTCTCTTTCTTTTATTTATTTATTAATTTTTAATTTTTTTTTTGAGACAGAGTCTCGCTGTCATCCAGGCTGGAGTTCAGTTGGTGCAGTCTCGACTCACTGAAGCTTCAACCTCCAAGGCTCAAGTGATCCTTCCATGTCAGCCTCCCAATTAGCTGGGACTACAGGTGCGTGGCAGCATGCTCTGCTAATTTTTTTTTTTTTTTAATTTTTTGTAGTGAAAGGGTCTCACCATATTGCCCAGGCTGGTCTTAAACTCTTGGGCTCAAATGATCCACTCACCTCGGCCTCCCAAAATGCTGGGAATACAGGTGTGAACCACCATGCCCACCCCATCTCTTCTTTAATTCCATATCACTTATTTATTAGAATACCTTATTATTTTCTTATCTATTACATATATATTTTTTGCCTATCTCTACCCACCAAAAGATAAGTTTCAGGAGGCAGGGGTTTTTGTTTGTTTTTATTTGTTCATTGCTTTATCTTAAGCGTCTAGGACAGTATATAGCACATAGTGGGAGCTACATAAATATTGGCTGAAGTGTTTAAATAACTTTTTTGCCTTATTATTTTGCTTAGAGACAGTGCTGCATTAAACATTGACAGAAACAGTGATGTGTATGTGTGCACCTGAGCATCCATGAGCACTGGTGTGGAGGAGAAGATGCAATTTGGAATTGAGTTTAATTCTCAATTCTGGCCATTTCTAGCTGGACAACCTAATATGAGTTACATCAAATACCTCGATTTCATAATTGTAGAATGCACAGAATAATTTCTACAACACACAGTTGTGAAGAACAAATTAGAGAATACATATAAAAGTGCTTTGGCAAACTGGAAAGCACTCTAATACTGTAATTAGTAACATTTTGTGTTTGTTGAGACTTGTTTTTTCTTTATGGTTCTACTTGTTGTCAACACTTTCTGATTAACCTGGAAATTTAGTTAGCGAGGGGAACATGATGTAAAAGAAACAGAATCTGGTTTGGCATTAGACCTACGTTTCGGCTTACAGACTTGAAGTTGTGGGCAGCAGCTTTTGAAGTCCCTTTCTATAGAGGAGTGCCATCAGGTGTCTGCTGATTGAAGCAAACTAGACAGTACAATATTGGCTTGACTTTCCACTATTTTACCTCTGAAGTCTATAACATAATTATTTTTATCCTTTATATCGCTTTTAAATCACTAGAAATAAACCTAAGCAAACCATTTTGACTTGTGCTTTTAACTTATCTCCAAATTCAGAGGTTCAGTCTAAAGAAATCTCAGAATGAAGTGAAAGATCCATTTAAAATCATGTTTTCTGAACAGTATCTTGCTCAATTATATTCTTGCCAGACGAAGAAGAAAGTTGTCCTGATAAGAAGGAGCAGTGTCAAATAGCTCTGGAGCAGTATACCAGAATAAATATTATCATACTAGTCTTTTTCCAACATGTTCTGAAAAGGTTAATGACTTTGCCTGCTTGATTTAGATACCTTTGATCTTCTTTGCAAATCCTGAGGTTACCATGCCTCTTTCGAGTTGGAGTCTTGGCAGACTCTGCAAGTATGTGGCTCAAGGACATGAGTTGAGTGGAGGGAAGTGCAGGAGTACGGGAGAGCAGCCAGCATTGAGAGACCATCCAGATTTGGGGAGAGGGGTCTCTGAATTGGATGATCTCCTGCTCCAAAATTTAGTTCCTCCTTCTATAACATAGGAAAATAACATTCATCCCATTAAATAAGAATTAAATGATATAGTATACAGGACATATCCACTACAGGGCTTAGCATGTATTAGGAGCCCCCAGAGTCATAGCAATTATTGCAATTGAAACGAACTTGAAGTCACATTTCTAATCAGCATTAAGCAAAAAAGACACACTAATTAAAAGAGCTAAAGTACTTAGGAATTTTTTTTAATGGGGTGAGTCTTGTATTGAGCCTGAAGGTTACACAGGATTTTGGCAAGTAGAGAGAAGGAAAAATGGCCTGTTAGGCAGGACAATCATCATGATCAATGCTGTGAAGGTAGAAAGAAGCACAGGGTGTCATGTGCATCCATGTGCAGAGACTACCAAACAGGCTTTGTGTGAGCAATAAAGCTTTTTAATCACCTGGGAACAGGTGGGCTGAGTCCAAAAGGAAAATCAGCGAAGGGAGATAAGGGTGGGGCCGTTTTATAGGATTTTGGTAGGTAAAGGAAAATTACAGTCAAAGAAGGGTTGTTCACTGGCGGGCAGGAGTGGGGGTCACAAGGTGCTCAGTGGGGGAGCTTTTTGAGCGAGGATGAGCTAGGAAAAGGACTTTCACAAGGTAATGTCATCACTTAAGGTAAGAACCGGCCATTTTCAGTTATTTTGTGGTGGAATGTCATTGGTCAAGGTGGGGCAGGGCATTTTCACTTCTTTTGTGATTTTTCAGTTACTTCAGGCCATCTGGGCATATATGTGCAAGTCACAGGGGATGCGATGGCTTGGCTTGGGCTCAGAGGCCTGACACAGTGTATGTTGAGAAAAAAAAAAGTGAAAAATCAAATGAGTTTGGGGATTAAGTAGTACAATCATTAGAAGACAATATCAGATAGCATGTTGGATATTTATTGTTATTGTCCATCTAGTACCTATCTCCCACCCCTTAGACAGGTAAAGAACCTCCCTTGTTATAAAAGAAAAAATCCATTTCATGCTATTCAGACACCTCCCTCAAATCAAACAAGGATTATCAAAAACATAACTGGGCAACCAACTATCATAAGACACTTGAAGAACTAAAACAACTAAAGAGGCAAAACAAAGTTCCCCAAACTGAAGAACTAAATACTTGAGGAGGTAGATTAAAGTAATGCAGTCACTTGAATATAAATATCTTTGGAAATACATAACAAATCAACTTTAAAGAGACTACAGATTAATAGTTAAAAAGTGGGCCCGGCGCAGTGGCTCACGCCTGTAATCCTAGCACTTTGGGAGGTAGAGGCGGGCAGACCACGAGATCAGGGATCGAGACCATCCTGGCTAACATGGTGAAACACCGTCTTCACTAAAAATACAAAAATATTAGCCAGGCATGGTGGCAGGCACCTGTAGTTCCAGCTACTCAGGAGGCTGAGGCAGGAGAATGGCGTGAACCCAGGAGGTGGAGCTTTCAGTGAGCCAATCGTGTCACTGCACTCCAGCCTGGGTGACAGAGTGAGACGCTGTCAAAAAAAAAAAAAAAAGAAAAGAAAAATCTCAATAGACAGATAAACAGTGAATTAGGGTACTAGAACATCAAGTAAAGCTAATCTCTTAAAACACAACACAATAAAGAGATGGGGGGAAAAAAGACAAAAATGCAAACATGAACCAAACCAAGCAAATTAGAATTCTTACTGAGACTTTTCTAGTGGACCATGTAAGGAAAGAAATTCTCTGGGGTTTGGATATTCAGGAGGGTGAAATAGCTGCCCACTGTTGTTTGGCCCACCACGTAGAAGATGAAGTAAAGCAAGTAAAAGGAGGACTAAGCAATAGAGGCAACACTGTAATCATCCAACAGGTCCATTTTGCAAGCTACCTGGATAGAGTCATTTTATCCAGACAGCAGAAATGCAATAGAGAAAGAGTTTAATTCATGCAGAACCAGGTGAATGGGTGGCCAGAGTTTTATGACTCAAATCAGTCTCTATGAAAATTCAGAGGTTAGGTTTTTCACAAATAGTTTGGCAGGCCAGGGAATGGGTACTGCTGATTGGTTGGGGGTGCAATCATAGGGGTGTGGAAAATGGTCCTTAAGGATGCCTGAGTCCACTTCTGGGTGGGGCCACAGGACTAGTTGATGGGTCCAGGTAGAGGCATTGGTCATCAGAAATGCAAAAATCTGAAAAGGACACCTCAAAAGGCCAACAGTGATATTATCTGCAGGAGTAATTGGGGAAGTTGCAAATCTTGTGACCTCCAGAATAAAGACTGGTAGTCATTTATATCTACACCTTAGCAGAATTCAGGCTCTTCTCGTCCTCCTAACCTCGTGGTCTTTCATTAGCTTTTCAACGCTGGTTTAGTTTTATCATTTAAACTATAAACTAAATGTCTCCAAAAGTTAGCTTGGCCAAAGTCCAGGAATGATTAAGAGCAGTTTGGAGCTTAAAAGCATGAGAGGTGGGTGTTTGTTACATCAGATCTCTTTCACTGTCATAATTTTCTCACAGTTATCATTTTTGCAAAGGTAGTTTCAATGCTACAATTCCATTTCTCACAATAATGCAGTAGTAGAGACTGAGTTTATCCTCCACATACAACAATACAAAATGAAGCAGACTATACGAAATAATGATTCTTAAATGCTGAAACATAAGCAGGAAAGGTCCCTTATCTCTAAGAAAGAGGAAAACAACTGGAAGCATTTCCCAGGTGGCCATACAGAAAGGAAAAACTCAAAGTCTAGCACTCCTACTGACTTAAGGAGACAGAGATGGGAGTTCAAGGAGACCAAGTCAGCTAGATTTAATGAAAAAGAATATCAGAAATAAGGGAGATGCACAGAAAAAAAGCTTCAGAGATCTGTAGAAAAGTCTCCTTGGCACTTTGGTTGAGTACTTATCTCTGCGTGAGTCAGAGGAAACTTCCCAAGGTTAGGGAAACAGCAATGGAAAAAACAGTCCACTAGATAATTTCCATACGTCACACAGGGCCGGGATTGGTTTATGTTCCCAAAAGCTTGAGTGAAATGACTTCATAAGACAAGTGACATCCGGTAGTCTTTAGAAGGTTGTGGCTTTATTAATAGTGTTAGATTTTCCCTAGAATGATAACCAAAGTAAGGGACTGAGGGAAAGGTCTCAATCAATTGAGGTTTATTGAGCCAGCTTTAGGGCATGTCTGGGAAAAATATGAGATGCATCTGTGGTTTTTTTTTTTCTGAAGAGATTTGTCAGGAGGTTTAATATTTACATATTTCCTTAAAGGCTGAGGAGAGGCAAGTAGGAAGACAGGCAGGTAGGCAATAAAGTGAATAGTTACATTGTTGTGGGACTTTAGCTAGTGCCCAGTAAATCTACATTTTACATAAGATAAATGTTTCAAGATTTAAAAGAAAAAGGACTAAAGGAAGAATCAGTTATGTAGATATCTCCAGGTGGGTGGAGAAATTACTGATCTTGGCTTGTCTTTGTTCTACACCTGGGAAGATAAGCTTAAAATCGACATCATCAGTGTGTAATGGAACAGACTTTTGTTTTCAAAGCTAGGCTTAGTTTATAGACCTAAAGTTACAATGTCCTTGGCATGTCCTTTTTTATGCAGGGCCAGCAAAGAATTTACTTACGAATGATCTGTGGTGGCAGTCATTTGTAGATGCCTGAGGCCTTTTGTATTTCCATGGGGATCTGGTTGATGCATAATACTAGTAACAGTTATTGATTTGGAAGAGGGTGTTGCATAACTCAAGCCTCCAGACTTAATCTTTCATTTGGCACAAGGAGTTTGAGGAGCCTGAGATTTTTGAATTTTTCTTTGCAGGACCAAAGGCAACTCTGGAAATGCTCTAACAAAGGTTAGAAGTAACTTTGAAAACATTTTACCGACTCCAGGTAACGTAATCAAATGCCATTACACATTCCAACTCTATTTAAAAGAATACAACAAAATTCGGCACATAGTGACATAAAATTCACAACGTCCAGGCCAGCATCCAGTAAAAACTTGCCAGGCATATAAAGAAAAGGAAAATGTGACCCATAAGCAAAGAAAAAATAATCAATTAGAAGAAACTTATAAATGACAGAATGATGGAATTAACAATGAAAGACATTGAAACAGCTATTTTAAATATACTCTGCATGAAGGGGTGGCAAATTTTCTGCAGAAGTGACATTATTGGATAAAGGACAGGTATTATTAGATTTGAAAGTTAGGTGGCGTCTATCAGAACTGCCCAATTTTGCCACTGTAACTCAAAAGCAGCCATTGACCAGGCACGAATGTCCACACCAAAAACTGGAAACAATCCAGTCATCAATGCGTGAATGGATAAACAACTGTGGTATATCCATGCAGTGGAATACTCCTCAACGATAAAAGAAAGAAACCACTTAAATACATAACAAAAGTCATGAATCTCAAAGCATTATACTAAGTGAGAAAAAGCTAGTTTCAAAATGTTACATATTATATAATTGCCTTTATGCAGAATTTTTAAAAAGGCAAAACTCTAGTAACAGAAAGTATACCTGTGGCTTTCAGGGATTAGGGATGAGAGGAGAGGATTGACTACAAAGAGGCATGAGGGAACATTTTGGAATGATGGAAATGTTCTATATCATGACTGGTGATAATTACAAAATTGTTGAAATTTTTTGAAATTCCTTAAACTGCGTATTTAAAAGGTATATATTTATAAAGTAGATTTTAAAGGAATTAACTATAAAAATTGGGGAAATTAACCATTTGAGAATTGAAGTACAAAGTTGGGCTTTATAGTTGAATTAAAAAAACACAATGGACACAGTTGAAGAGTGAATCAATAAGCTAGAAGATAATATAATGAAACTCTCCCCCCAAAACTGAATAACACTCAAAGACTAGAAAGTATGGTAGAATTAGGAAATGTTCAGTATAGACCTAAAAATTCCACCTTATTTCAGAAGGTGACAACACAGAAAAGAGAGAACAGGAAATGATACTGTAATTCTGATCATGTATCTTATTACTTTGATTAGCTTCTTCCTTTAAATAACAAAAGGCTGAATAAGAAAACTTAAAAGACTCTAGGTTGACCCAGGCCTACAGAAAAAACAAAAGGAAAAAAAAAAACTTAAAAGACAAGACATATACTCTTGGGAACATTTGCAAAGTATGTGACAATGGATCTGCATTTAAGAATAAAGAGCAAACTAAAATACATGAGAAAAAGATACATAATTCTATTAAAAAAGAGAAAAGGAAATGAGCAATTTACTGAATAAGTAATATAAATGACAAATATATGAGAAGGTGCTGACTTTCAAAAGTGATGAGAAAAAGGCTAATTAAGATATAATTTTGCCACTGTATTTACAAATATTTAAAAAATCAAATCAAATGACATCAAAAGTCAAGAGTTGAGATTTTGAGAAAATGGCATAGCTAGAAATTGCTTATGCAATATTGTTTTATTCAAGCTACAACTTAGTAGTATTTATCAAAGATTAAGATGAAAATCTTATGATCCATCAAGTTTACTTCTCGGAACTTGGTCTAAAGAATTTTTTTATCTATAGACATACAAGTACAATGATGACTGCATATAATAGCAAAGAGCTGTAAACAACATAAATGTCTAACAGGGAACAATTCAACCCCATTCTACAGAATCCTATTCAGATAGAAAAAATAACTGGGGTAGATCATCATGTAGTGACATGAAAGATCTTCAAGATGTATTATTAAATATAAAAATCACATATATGGATATTATGCAAACATACATATATGGTCATATTTTTCAATTGTATTTTCAAATGGGTATGTAAATGTATATATTTGAACATTAATGTAGAGGGAGTCTGGAAGAATGTATGCCAGAATATTCTACTAGTAATGAGAAATAGAGGGGAGATGAAGGAGAGTTTCCCCATTTTGTTTCATTTGCTAAGAAGTAATTCTTCTACCTATGAGGTTCTGGATCAGCATGAACAGTGGCAAAGGAAATTATTAGCGGGGATTATAGTTGGAACTCCTAATCAGAACTATGATAGTTATGATAGTTCCGATAAATGATACGGATCTAATCAACTTAAGCCCAAGGCCTAAAAATGAATTTGTAAGGCTCCTTTATGTTCTTAAGCCCAAACCCCAGATTTCCAGTTAGTCACAAGGGATAGGATGTCAAAAAGATAAGTGTCTGGGAATATTGATAGAATAAAAGAGGGAGATCTCTCAATGTCAGACTCTTCCTCCTTCTCCTATAGTCTGGACCCTATTACTTCAAAAGGCCACTTGGAAGGGGAAAACAGAGAGAGAAAGTCTGCAGGCGAAGAGCAGCTGGAACAACAAGAAGCAAAGAAAGCCATGGTATCTATTCCCGGGGGTAAATGCGACGCAGGAACAACCTTAAAATAAGATTAGTACTTCGTCTTTTAGGGAGAAGAATGAGAGAAATATGGAAGAACTTTCCCTTAGAATAAGAGAGCAGCTAAGTGTTAGGCAGGAATCTAGACCCAACATGGCAGCGTTACCCGGCGTAGCAGGCCTTTTGTTAAAGACTCCCTTCACCCTTGTACACACCCGCAGACTTACATGCGTCAGAGTTCCAGCTGGGCAACCACACTCCCCCATGACCTGCAGCTCACCTGCATTCCACAAGTTCGTAAACAGCAGTTTCGGTTAACAGTTTCCAGAGACCCCTTCCTCATGACCCTTACTCAACTCCTGCCCAAGTAGTTTCAAGACCCCCCAGGCCCTGTTTGCACAACCCCACGAGTCCTAATAAAAGGCTATTCTCACTGCCATTTGCCTTGTGTCTTCGTTCCCGGTTTGGCTCCAGCCTCCGTTTACCTTTACACTAAGAACCTGTCCTCTCCTTCAATTCTGTGTTTGCTCATAGGTCTGGCTACTTTATTTGCACAGCCCTGTGCAAATTGAAAAGGCAGGATTTCTTGCTCAAAAACTATTAAGAATTCCAAGATAGCAGCAGCAGAGCATTTAACCAAGCCCAGAGTCCTGTTGAGTGCTAGGTCCTTTGAAACTACACAGCTTGCATACCTGTGAAGAAACCCTGTATTTTCTTTTAAAAACTGCATTTTACAGACAAGACTGATCAACAGGGATATGGCTGGAGGAAAGAAATGCAGACCATCATGGAAGTCTCTGCCCACAACTCTGCACCCAACACCTACTTCTGCTGCCGTGTATTTATATTTGTCAGGGTTTCAGCAACAACAAACAAAATCCTCAAAAAGGGGTTGTTTAAAAACTATTTATTAAGAGACTTTATACAAAAGTTTGGCAGAGTTAAGAGAAAGTGGGAAGCCACTGCCATCCTTAGGCCTGAAAGAGCAAAGGGAAGTTTGGTTACTAGAACTCAGGGACGCTTGTAACTATAAGAGAAGACCAAGGAAATTAGCACCCCCTTAAGTAAAAGAAAAAGCCCCTGTCAAGCAGACACCCTGGAGAGGGGAGCCAGGAGAAAAACATCTCTCTCTTTCTCCCTCATGGGCCTATGCTTCCCACTGGTGGGATTGAAAGTCAGTGGGCAGAGGAGGGAGCTGGTCAATGCTGCCCACAAAGATCTGCCTTCAGGGAGCAACCAGGTTAGAAAGGGGAGCTGGACAAATGGGAAGCACCGTTGATGGTGCTCCTAGAACCGACGAGACAAACAGGGAAAAGGTAGCCCTCGGAAGCTTCTGGAAAGAGCTAGAAAGGAACATCAAAATAACTTCCAGGCCACACTAGTCACAAATAAACAACATATTCATTTTCCTACCTTAAATTACACTGAGGTAGATTGTCCACCTCAGCTCACCACAGGGTTATACAAAGAGCACCAAATGGCACCAGAGACCAAATAATCAGCCAGTAATGTAAAGATGCCTCAGAATTAGACAGTACAAGCCCTTTCCCAGAAAAACAAGAAGACAGAACCTAGAATACTAAACATGCGATGAGAGGGAATAGTGACTTAGGAACATTCACCTGAGAAAATGTGAATTCAGTGGATTTCTTGGTGAGCACGACCTCTTTAAGAGTATTCAAGAAGAAAGGATGGCAGAGATTCTCAGTAGCTGATTTCAGAGAAGAACAGCCAATTAAGCAATTCCAGGGGCATGAGATCATTCTGCATCCCATAAACACGGTCAATGTTCCCCTATGTTGGTAACAGCCTGTGCTGAAAAATCTAAAGCAATTAGTTTTGTCCTCCCAGGCTTTTGAGCACCTACTTCAATCAGATGAAAAGGTTAAAACAAGAGCTAAATATGCCCTGTTGTCACCATGAGGGCAGCTTTGTGCTGGATGGAAGCATTCACTGGGGTCAATTCATTCAAGATTTGGGAGCCCAGGTAACAAAAGTGGTCAACTGGGACACTCAAAAACAGCAATTGCCCAAAGAACTGGGGACAGGAACATTTAAAATCAATATCACTCGAAAAATAAAATGCAGCTCATTGCGTTCCTATTATAATTTTACTTTGCCTCTGCTTTAGTCAGGAAATAGTCGGTAATGACAGCTGAAAAACATTTATTTACTCATTCTTTCCTTCATGGTATTTTGTTTTGTTGCACTTATTTTACTGCCTTTTCATCTCTGGTTATATGTGCGACATTTTTATAATAAAAATCAAGAGAAAATACTTCACTGTAATGTCACCCTCTAGCTGTGTGACCTCAGGGAAGCCAATTCATGGAAAAATAACCTTTAATAACTGAAATAAATTTCAACATCATCTTAAAACTCTCACTGCACAGATGAGACATAGAAGGAGGGGATATCAAAGTCCCCAAGTAAGCAAGAGTAACAGTTTTTCTAGACCTATCTACCACACTTCAGTGATTGCTCAGTTCAGTTCAGTCCAATTCAACTCAATGTTGTAATTTAATTAACATCAAAGGAGTGCCAGGCACATGGAGGGCATGCTGTTCATTGGTATCAGAAGTTTAATGATGAGTTTAACAGTCTCTATGATAACACAATAGAAAAGGTATAGATTTTGACATCAGAATCATTTCAAGTCCTACTCAGCACCTTACAAGCTACGAGATGTTTGGAAAGTTACTGGGTCATTCTTACTTTCCACATTTGTAAAATGGGAATCATACCACCTAAACTCACAGAGTTGTAAGAATTTAATAAACGAATGGATGTAAAATCCCAGCACAATGCTAAAATGGTTGTTTTTTCTAGTCTAAGAATAACTTAAAGGCCTCCAAGTTATTCTTTCTCCATATTCCCATAGCACTTTGCAATATCTCTATTATAACATTTCTAACACTGTTCTATAATTACATGTTTCTGTGTTCCAATACAAGGTACTACATGTTTCTGTAGTACCTTGAAGGGAGGAGCATGTATTATTTATTATTGGTAACCCAAAGTGATAAGATATGTGAAAGCACTTCGTTAACTATAAAGCACCTGTGATGGTGAGTTTCATGTGTAAATTTGACACATGAAAGACAAGCTATTTCATTAAACACTAATCTAGGCACTGCTGTGAAGCTATTTCGTAGAAGTAAGTTGACTTTGAGTTAGGATGATTATCCTCCATAATCTGGGTGAGCTTCATCCAATCAGTTGAAAGGTCTTATGTGGAAAACTGAAGTTTCCCAAAAGTAGAAGAAATTCTCCCTGTGACCTACAGTGTTGATCTACAGCCAGCGGGCCGCCCCACAGAATTAAAACTTTCCAGCTCCATGACCACATAAGCCAATTCCTTGAAATGAATCTCTTTTGACATAGATATAGATAATATAGATAGATATGGATGTAGACATAGATACAGATACAGATGGATACCCTACTGCTTCTATCTGCTTCTATTTCCCTGGTCGAAGCCCAACTGATACAGATTTACCCTAATATAGTTTCACACAAATACTTGTTGTTACCTATTGTCTTAGCCATTAGGGCTGCTATAACAAAATACCATAGACTGGATAGCTTATAGACAACAGAAATTTATTTCTTACAGTTCTGAAGGCTAAGTCCAAGATTAAAGTGCTGGCATATTTGGTGTCTTGGTTAGGGCCCACTTCCTTAGACGGCAGTCTTCTCACTGTGCCCTCCCTTGGTGGAAGAGGTGAGGTGTCTCTCTGGGTCATCTTTTATAAGTGGTCTAATCCCATTCATGAGCAGTTCACTTTCATGACATAATCACCCCTAAAAGCCCCACTTCCTCAAACAATCACTTTGTGTGGGGCAGGGGTGGTTAGGATTTCAACATGTTTTTAGGAAGGCATGCATATGTGTATATGAACATACACATTCAGACCATAGTGGCTACAATCCTTCTAACTTTAAAATTCCATGGCCTTATCTTGAGTCATTACTCATGACTCATTATCATTACTGCTCCATAACTCTTGTTAAGACATTCATTTCATGTTTTTACCCTCGATTCTGGCATGAACTGTTGCAGAATTGTTTAAACTTTCAAAGTCTTGTTTCTTTATATCTCAAATGAAATATAAATGAAATAATGTAATCATGGAATAATGTAATCATTCTTTATAGCAGGGTAAAAATGAACTAGTACAATAATAATGAAAAATAATAAAATAATGCCTGGAACATAATGAGTATTCAATAAATGTTAGCTGATTTTTTATTATTTTTTTCATTATTATTGTATTAGTCCATTTTTACACTGCTATGAAGAACTGCCTGAGTCTGGGTAATTTATAAAGGAAAAAGGTTTAATTGACTCACAGTTTTGCAGGGCTGAGGAGGCCTCAGGAAACTTACAATCACAGCAAAAGGGGAAGCAAACACGTATTTCTTCACATGGCAGCAAGAAGGAGAAGTGCTGAGGAAAGGGAGAAAAGCCCCCTACAAAACTGTCAGATCTCGTGAGAACGCATTCATTATCACAAGAACAGCATGAAGGTATCTGCCCCTATGATTAAATTACCCTCCCACCGGGTCCCTCCCACCACACATGGGGATTATGAGAACTATAACTCAAGATGAGATTTGGGTGGGGACACAGCCAAACCATATCAATTACTATTGTTGTTGTTAGTCTGAGACCCTGGAGGGAGTCCAGAGTGTTACCTTTCTGACTCACATTTTAGGTCGCAGACCTCATCTCCTGAAAAGGATGCTAGGAAAGGAGGCTTGGGAAGTGAGTTTTGACATTATCTCCAATAGCTATCTCTGTGAACCTTGGGTAGTCACTTCATGTCACCCAGCTCAGTGACTCAATAGGTCAGTTACTAGCCCCATCTTTTTCATTATTCTGAAGTTCAAATACGTCAGTGTGAGAATACACCACAGATGCACATACACATATGAAAACAGTAGATACTAAAGACATACTTGTTGAAGGAATGAATAGTCTATGGAATGACTGTTGATGGATAAAAAAAGCTTTTAAAAGTAAAATGATACATCAATTCATCATACAAAATAATGCATTCATTCTGACCAAGTTACCCTCTAAAGCAAAGCATGAAGTCTGAAGTTAAGAGTTCATAGGCAGATGCAAAAGCAGATAGATAAAGCACACAATAATAAAATGTCATGTTTATTTATATCACTGATGTTTTTGGTAAACACCCAAGGGGGAAATCAGAAATAACATGATTGAAAATAAGAGACTGAAGAGAAAATGATGCATTTTACCACAAGAAAAAAAAAAGAAAAAACACCAAAAAACATTCTCTGTGATAGGTTTTGCATACAGACAATAGCCTGTACTAGAGGTGGGAGAATGACACAAAAAATATAATAATATATAGAGAAAATGAAAATCCACTATAGTTGGCCAGGCATGGTGGCTCACTCTTGTAAATAGTTGCACTTTGGGAGGCCAAAGCGAGTGGACCACCTGAGGTCAGGAGATCGAGACCAGCCTGACCAACATTGTGAAACACCGTCTCTACTAAAAATACAAAAATTAGCTGGGTGTGGTGGTGGGTGCCTGTAATTCCAGCTACTAGAGAGGTTGAGGCAGGAGAATCGCTTGAACTGGGGAGGTGGAGGTTGCAGTGAGCCAAGATCATGCCACTGCACTCCAGCCTATGCAACAAGAGCAAAATTCCATTTCAAAAAAAAAAAAAAATTCTACTATAGTCATATTCAGTCTCTGCTATTTTAAATAAAATGTACATGTGCACACACACATACACATGCACACATGCACACTATGCCACCCAAACTAAAACAGCAATCAGTAGAGCTGTAGATTAGGCAGCTCCAAGTTCTGTAGTGAGTGTCACAGGCCAGATGCAGAGAAAGCGGGATTAGAAACAAGGTAAGCCCAGAGAGCAAGGCTGGTGAAGAAACTCTGGGGCAGGCAGTTCAGTCAGTGGATATCCTGAGTGAATGAGGCAAGTGCAAACAGATAAAGGCAAACAGCATCTGGAAAGTATAGCAAGAGATGCATGTAACGTGGAGGGGGATATAGGAGGCATTAGAGAAGGAGGTATGGGAGTGGGAAGATGAGGTAGGGGGTTGAGGGTGGGAGGGTGGAAGGGGAGGATGGTGAGAAGTCAGTATATGTTTAGATAGCTATCTCCTAGGATTCCTTGGACAGGACCCCAGCTTCTTTCCTGGGTTGAGAGCACAGATTTTTCTGTTTTGTTTTGAAACAAAACAGAAAATGCTCCTTGTTTTGAACACTCCTTCACTGGAGGCTGGAATGCAGTGGCAGGATCTCGGCTCACTGCAACTTCAGCCTCCTGGGTTCAAGCAATTCTCATGCCTCAGCCTCCTGAGTAGCTGGGATTATGGGCATGCATCACCACACCTGGCTAATTTCTGTATTTTTAATAGAGAGAGGGTTTCACCCTGTGGGGCAGGCTGGTCTCGAACCCCTGACCTCTGGTGATCCACCAGCCTCGGCCACCCAAAGTGTTGGGATTACAGGTGTGAGCCACACTGCCCGGCCAAGAAAGCAGACTTTTCTTTAGCTCCCTGCTCCTATTCCTGTTTCTTCCAAATATTCATTCTCAGCCATTTACTACCCTCGCTTTACTCTCTCTGAAAATCTTACCTCCTTCCATAGCTTCAACTAACTCCTATATGTCTATTGCTCACAAATCTCCAGTTTTAGTCCAGATCTACATCTGAGTAACAGATCCACCTATCTGCCTACTAAACATTTCCATTGATATGCCCTACAGCTTTGTTAACCACACCATTCTCAGTGCTGAATAAGTCCTGCTTCTTCTCTTACTTCTTGCCTTTTCTGTCTCCATTTGGGCAATACCATCCACCCAGATACTGAAGTAAGAGTCATTTCTATTCGTTTCATTTCCTTTACTACTCTGGTTCTTCCACATGGCCACTTCAGCCACTGGGACATTTCTATTGCATGTATTGACCTACAATTAGTTATTTGTATGTTTCTCTCCATCCCTCACAATGAGATTTTCAAAAATAAAGAGTTAATATAGCAAGAACTGAATGGATTAAGGTGGAGCAGTTAGGGTTGCAGGATACCATTTCTGCCATCATTTCTTTCATCTAGTTGACAACAGATAGTAAAGTTGTGAAACCTGCCTGTTTGAGCTCAGTCATCCACCAGAATCAGACACCTGTGTGCTACTAGACCAGCAGCAGTACCTGTTGAGTGTTGAGTGCCCCAGGCAGTTTGGCCTGTGGGAGACCCCGGTATTTTGCTAATCCAGAGATACTTGAGTTAAAAAGGACACAGTTATACTGTTTATTTGTGCAATGGTATTTTCCTTTAAAATATATTTAAGTAATCATTCTGAATGGCAGTTGATTTGTATTCCTATTGAGATGCAAATTTGCTATTTGAGCCAAGAAACATAATCTCACTTTCTTTTGCCTCAACATCACCATCTAATAAAAAGAATAAGCTATGCACACATAATCTGCTATTTCCTGTCACTTGGTTTACTCTCTTCTACAGGTGCAGGACCCAGATCAGCAACAACTTTGAAATAAACTACAGCTCTCCTGTGAGCTAAAGGCAGAAATGTGGAAATGTTGAGAAAATTCTTGTCTGCATCACAGTATGTACATCCTAGGAGGGCTTTCTTTTAAAGGAAAGGAACATATATTGCAAATAGGAGAGATTTGACTGGGTCTAAGATAAACCTCTCAACTTTGAGAACCAGGGTTTCTCAGAGATTGAGAGGGGCTCACCCGAGCCATCTTCAGTTTTTGAGACTCACAGTATGTTAAAAATTAAATATAACAAAACAGGGTTATAAACATTGTGATACACTTATATTCAACATTTCAAAATTTTTAACATAAAACATGTGATATCTATATGCAGAGCTGCGTTTGATAATATGCTTGGAGGACATAAGGCCTGACCAAATAGCCCTTCTTTCTCTTCTTCCTCAGCTCACTCCAAGAGGCTCTGCCAAAGATTATTGCATCTTTTTAAAGAGCAAGAGTCTGATCTTTTTCTTCTTTATTTATTTCCCTATTAAAACCAATTCATGGTTTTTTTAAAAAAAGAAACTAAATCATATGGCATTTATTTGTTGTGTAAATCTTTTTGTTAATAACGATTAAAACGATCATCTGGTAGATACTGAAACCTAGTTACCTCCAGAAAGTTTTAAAAGCATTTTTTAGTGAGCCAGTATTCTTTCTGTGTTTCACATCCTTGAGTGCAAGAATGCATTCAAAACTTCCTCTCCTGGCTTAACAAAAATCTAACGCTCCCAATGAGAACAATAAGAAAAGCCACACATAATATTTTAAAAATTCAAAACAAAAAAAAATCACCTTTTTAAAAGCATCAGAGAACCATCACATTAGCTACAACCACTGAGGACAATATCCTGGAGAGAAGGAAAGCTCACTGAGATAAGCTCAACTTTCTGCCTGCCACTTTTTCCCTTGGAATATTTGCCACATTTTGACTCAAGTTTGAAAGCTGAGGAGCTAGCCAAAAGACAGCTGGTTAAGAGGCAGAGAGGCAGCAGAGCTTTCAGCAACTGTATGAGATTGAGAAGACAGAAATGTGAGCTCTTGGTTGGCAAGCCATCCAGACTTGAGGGCCCCAAATCTCCAAGAGAAAGGAGATGCAGAAAACTTCCATCGCTGATCACCAGTTCTTTCCTGGGGAATTTGGTGGTTCTTAAGCTACCTAGAACAGAAGGTCAAGAAGTCAAACAGAAAGTAACTAAAAACCATGGCAGTGTTTGGGGGAGCCTCATGATACTCTGGAAATGAAAATCGAAGTTCAGGGCCTACTCCTGACTGGAGACGCTGCTGACTAGCAAATAGCATAGGTTCACACTTAGAGTCCCTGGAATGCTACATGCAAGGAGTGGGAGTGAACTAGACTTGACTATACATGAAAACATTGAAATTCAGGATTTCTACTTCCACCTTGGATGTAAAAATTTCACATAATGCTGCTTTCACCCTAACAGTGAGAAAAAGCCAAAGAAACTATGAAATCATAACTTTTCCAAGCCCACTAAGGAGCTAAGATAACAGAGCAATCAAGTTGCCTAATTGCAAGGAACAATAGACTCCTCCTAAGGTAATGGGATGTATGGACTGAGTCACCTGTGGCAGAGCATGAAAGAACCAGGTGGCTGAATTGTTGGAGGTCGAGTGTGAACAGCATGTCAGTTTGATGGCCTCAGACACTGAGAGTTTATACTCACTCACAGGCTCTTCTTTATGGGCCTCTACTGGTTCTCATGAGAGAGATCCCTAGTCTCTAAGTGGAACAAGTCTGTAGAAGTCAATTGGCTGTTACTTCACAGCCACCCCATGCCGAATCCTTCTTTCACAGGAAGAATAATACTTAAGCTACTGAGGGAGAGAGAGCAAACAGCCAATATGCACATGAAAAGGTGGTCTATAGTATTACCCATTAAGAAAATGCAAACTAAAACTACAATGAAAAATTACTACATACTCACCGGAATAGCCAATATCGAAAAGGTTGACCATAGCAGGTGTTAACAAAGGTGCTAGGCCAACGAAAACTCTTATAGGTTATAGACATATTCCACTCTATTACATACTGTTAAGTGATGTAATTCTTTGAAAAACTAATAGAATTGCATATATGCCTTTTACTCTGACCCAAAGAAGCATTCTACTTCTAGATACTCAATAAAATGAATACATGTATCCATCAAGAGCTATATATAGAAATGTTCAAAGCTGACCAATTCATAATGCCCAAAAACTAGAATGTACTCAAATACCCATCAACAGTAAAACAGTATATTCCATAACACATTCCCACAATAGAATGCTACAGAGCAATGAAAATAAACAAATCACTACTACATGGTATCACGTGAGTGAATATAATAAGCATGATGTTGATTAAAGAAGTTAGTCATGAAGGAGCACGTATTATATTATTCCATTTACATGAAGTTCAAAAACAAGCAAAACCAATCAAGGGTTATAGACATCATGTTAATTTTGGGATGGACATAGCAACATGGAATAAATAGGAGGATGGCCTCTGGGATGCTAGTAATGTTCAATTTCCTGATCTGAGAGGTATTTACAATGGAATTTACTTTGTGAAAATATATTGAGCTATAACTTGATAATTTGTTCACTCCTCTGTTATGTATCTTACTTCAATACAAATTGACATTAAAAGTGTTTTCAAGTAGAAGATAACATTTGCAGTACTGAAATATAGATGTACATTATTCTTTAGCTTTAACAAATTTAAATTAAGCTTACAATTTAGCAAACCCTAGTCTAACTACTTTATAAATAATAATGCATTTAGCCTTCATAGCAACCTTATAATTACCCCCATTTTACAGATGAAAAGACTGAGGCTTAGAGAGGTTAAGTAAGTTTTCTAAGTATAGCTAACTAGTGTCAAACCATGAATTTGAAGCCTGGCAATTTGTATTTTACCAGTGCCTAACATTATAAGGAGTTGTATCCTCTTATCTCCTTCCTGCTCTAAATAAACTTGCTAATTTATAATTTTTTTTTTTTTAAACAGGGTCTCACTCTGTCACCCAGACTGGAGTGTAGTGGCACAATTTCGGTTCACTGCAACCTTCAGCACCCAGGCTCAAGCAATTCTCCTGCCTCAGCCTCCCAAGTAGCTGGGATTACAGGCACCCGCCACCACACCCGGCTAATTTTTGTGATTTTAGTAGAGACGGGGTTTCACTATGTTGGCCAGGCTGGTCTCAAACTCCTGGCCTCAGATGATCTACCTGTCTCAGCCTCCCAAAGTGCTGGGATTATAAACATGAGCCATTGCACCTGGCCATTCTTTAAAGTTCTCTTAAGTATGCATGTATTTAGATTATAAGATCATCAACATTAATAAAACGTTCAATTTGTTTTTTATTCTCCTTAATATTTTCAATGTTCTGAAATAATAAGCAATGGGTTCATGAGCAATGAATGAGTGACATTTATAATTTCAGACAATTCCATACATCTAAAGGCAGGGAGGTAGAAGTTCATTTCTCAACTCTCTTCTAGTTCTATGATTTTACAAATTATGCCTCAGAGTTACTCCCAGGGCAAATGAGATTGGTCTAGTCTGAAGTCATTCACTCACTCATTCATGCATTCATTTACCAAATAGTATTTGAATACCTGCTACATTCCAGGCACTGTTTTAGGTGTGGGGGAATTTTATATAGGATGACTGGGGAAGGCCTCTGTAAGGAAGCACCTGTTGAATGGAGGACTGAATAGAGTGAGAGATTAAAGCACAGAGATATAGATGATAGATAGATAGATAGATAGATAGATAGATAGATAGATAGATAGATAATCTGGGTGAAGAGTGGTCCTGTCAGAAAGTGCAAAGATTCTGAAGTAGGAGGCATTTGGAAATTTGAGGAAACGACAAATAGTCCTGCATGCCTGGAGTGCAGCGAGCTAGGATGAGAGAGGAAGAATGAAGGGGGAGGATTCACCAAAGGTCAAATCCTGTAGGGCAATGTAAACTCTCTTAAACTTAGAATTCTGTTTCCAGTGTGACATGAAGCCACTGCAGGCTATTGAGTAGAAATGAGGGATAATCAGATTTTCATTTCCAAAATATCACTCTGGCAACCATACAGAAAATATATCACAGGAGAGAGGCGAGGGGGTAATAATGCTGGCTCACATGATAAATATTGTCAGGCAGCATGCGTTTGTGAATGTGTGAATAGCTGAGGTTTAGTTCAACCACCCTAAATACTGTATTTATTGGTCTAGTCTCACTCTGTGATCTGGAATTCAATTCTGTTTTAAGTGAGTGAATAGGTGCTCTCGTTATAAAACAATGAAATAATGTTGAGACTTTTCTTCAAATTGCCACTAAGACAGCCTTATTGTAGTAGCTTGCTGGGGCTGTGGTAACAAATACCCACAAACTGGATGGCTTAAACCACAGTAATTCATTGACTCGCAGTTGTGGAGGCTAAAAGTGAAAAATCAAGGTCTTGGCAAGGTGGTTTTCTTCTGAGGGATGTGAGGGAAGAATCTGTGCCAGGCCCTCTCTTTGGCTTGTAGGTGAATGCCTTGTTCCTGTGTCTTCACATCCTCTTCCCTATATGCTTGTCTCTTCACATGATATTTGTTTTGTAAAGACACTGGTCAAATTGGATTAGGGCCACCCTAATGGCCTCATCCTAACTTCACTAATTACATATGTAATGACCTATTTCTAAATAAGGTCACATTTTGAGTTAATGGGGGTTAGAACTTCAACTTCGACAATCAGGGTGAGGGGCAAAATTCAACCCATAACATTTGCAATAGGCAAAGAATAGAGACTTAGGAAAATAAAGACTTCAAAAATAGCTGTGGCATACATAGGAGCCTCGTGTTATTACTGCCTTTTGTGGATCGTGGTGGTGAAATCTACCTTTAACATAATTATAGCAATATCCATGACTTGAACACCTACTGTCAGCCAGATCCTGTATAGTCTTTCACATGTGTTATCTCATTTAGTCTATACACACTCTCTATAGACAGATCTTATTATCTATATTCTACAGATGAAGAAAGTAAAATTCGGAGAATATCAGTAACTTGACCAAAGTAAATTCTTACTTTGTGAATTACAAAGTAAATTCCATTTACTTACAAATTACTTACAAAGTAAACTCTTTACTTACAAAGTAAATTCCATCATAGATTCTTAGCCACACTATTGTTTTAATTCCTCATTAATTCAGATTATATGGTATTGGGTTGGTGCAAAATAATTGCAGTTTTTGTTATTGAAAGTAATGGCAGAAACTTCAATTACTTTTGCACCAACCTAAATAGAATCAGAGAACAGCTTATCTCAAACAATATTAAGCAAAATAAAACCCCAAAGTTGTGTATGTGCTATAATGATATCTATACAAAAAGCATCTGTATGTCTAAGTATACACTGAATGATGTCAAAGAGGAAGATATATTTTGGGAGTTTGAGTAGTGGGATTATAGTATAATTTTTTCTTAATGTCATAAATGTATAAATGTTAACATGAACATTTAAAACCAAAAGTATAATTAGAAATTTCTAATATCTTAATCTACTTTTCATACTACTTAGAACGATGATTCAAATGCCAGCATGCATCTCCTGGATGAAATCATTGTAGGCCTTCAAGGATAAATAAAACTACACTTAATCTCAGCATCAAAACAATTCATAATGTTATGTTTTTCCCTTCACCCTGACTTCAAGGGCTACACAGGAACATCTGAAGGGCTTCAAGGGCTTCCTGCTCTATGAACTCTAAATATTAGAGATCAAGCATCATGAATGAAGTAAGCATAAATCCACATCTAATTAGATGTGTCAGAGAGGACAGCCAGCCATCTGGCTTAGATTATACTCCTGCAAATTCAGCTAAGATGGCGCATCAACTCAGAGGGTTGCACAGAAAGCTTGTTTTATCTTTCTTTATCTACCTCCACTGCTTCCCCTCATCTGTCCCTTACTGAGACGGAGCTTGCAGAGAACTCCACGAGCACTATCTGGAGATCTTTTTGCCATTCACTGAATATACATGGAAATTCCCTAAATATTAATATTTATGACAATTCCCTATATATGTGTCCGGTGTGTGACTATGAAAGAATCATAGAAATTAATTACTTTCTTTGAGTTGCTACCCATTAGATCAAATTTGCATACTGCAGGGAGAGCTTCTGGAAGTGGGTCTCTGGCAGGAAGCCTAGTGGAGCCCTCTGGGTCTGATTCATCTCCCTTAAGGGCAGATACCTGTTTTAGTTGATAATAATGTCTCTAAAAATTGGGTCACCAAACAACTCTTGCAGTTCTTCTGGCCACATCTTGGGGAGAGAGGATCTAGTAAGTGCTAGTTTCTCTTTTTCTCACCAACCTATATTAATCCAATCAAGAAATATGTGTCTGTAGCTGCAGGAGTCTCTAATCAACATTTTTTTTTTTTATTCTGAACTGCCTCTGGATATCTCTATTTCAGAGTATCTTTGAAATAAATTTATCAGAAGGGGAAGGGTGTTCTGAAGTGATGTCTTTGCAGCATCATAGTTGTCCAATTAGCAAGGACTGGAGACCTAACAAAAGAAATCATAGATCTAATAAGAAGTAAGGAATAGGAAGAAACTTGGAGGATCAGACTACTGTGTTTCCATCAAGAGAAAGGAAAAACACTGCCACAGTCTTTCGTTGCAAGTTCCTTGAGAATGCACGCTGACACATTCTAGTCCAGAGTGTAACAAAACATCTAGATCAATAAATCCATAAATTTTTGTAGATTGAAAAATTAAAGATTCCACACTCCTCACCAGCCCAAGAGCAGAATACTGGGTCTAAAGGACTTCATTATATTTTATATTATTCCATTATTATAATAAATATTCATTCAATTGGCATTCCTTGATTATTCAGTTTTCAGATTTTGCCTCTACTATTTTCTAGTCTCATTAAGTATTCGTATATTCATTTTTCTGTAAACTTTATGCTGTTTCTCAAGTATTGGGCATCCAGACTAGTGTATAAGAATAATCTGATACTTTTCTAAGAGATAGAAAATCGCTTTAGTTCATTGATTGCTTTTTCATAACTTTTCTGTATGATTTTCTGCATCACAATTTTTCTTTCTGTATCCTAGAGGGCAGGGATCATGTAAGTGTACATTTTAAAAAATTTAACCTAGAGTTTTGTTTCAGGTTTCCAGACCTAACAGATAATCAAATATTTTCTGTGTGTAAAGGTTATTTTTCTCTTAAGAAACAATAATAATTTGTAATACTTTTATATATTTTACGTTTTACATTCAAACAATAAATCTCATGATCTTACAATTATTAACTATAATTAAAGCTATTATTGATTGAGCATTTAAAATATGCCATGCATTTTTCTAAACACTATAATGCATATTCATGGACTTAACCTTTCTGAGTGGCTAAATAACTAACTCAAGGTGCTACAGCTGTTACCAGCCAAGTTGGGATTTGAACACTGTTGCTTTAAGTGTAGAGCTCTGTCCTTAACCACTATGCTATACTAACCTTCAGGTGTTTTGGGAGCCCTTATGGTATATTTGGTTACAAACTTAATCTCTGCCTGGTGCAGCTGTCCTGTGCATGACATTTATGTGAGTTATGACCTTCTGACTATGTTTGCCAGCAGAGAAGACACAGGATTGGAAGAATCTATTCCCATGACCACAGAGCTCTAGTTGCAAATTGTTATGTTTGGGCGTCTCATATGGATTTCATTGACTTTGGGATTAAGAGATGCTATGTTGGGGAGGACATGAAACTCCTGGATTATCATGGTGCCTCTCTCTAATTCTAAAAACATTTTAATTTTATTTTGCAAACCCACAGTTTTAGGAAAACATTTTAATTTTAAAACACAGATGTCTTTTGTGGGAATGGAAACTTCACACAAATTCTTAAGATGAAACATGAAACTTCAAAGAAATGTCTTGTTCTTAACCTACTCTTTTCCAACCCCTCACCCCACCCCCGGCTCCCACAGAGTTTCCATTTAGTTCCCCTGCAGTTAGGAGAGTGGAAAAGTTTGACACACTCTTTGATGTATTTTAAAGTCTCTGCCGTTACACAATGAAATTTGGCTCTTAGAAGTTAGTTAGTTTCCTTGAAGGAAAAGAGAATATTTATGAAAGGGAAACCTCTGCAGGTAAATTGTACACAATTAGCACCTTTACTGAAGATTTTACTAAGCTACAGTTGTGTCAAAGAAAGTCTCCATCCACTGCACCCAGAACAGCCTGTCTAAATCTCAAACTCAGCCTGAAACATCTCATGCCAAGAACTTCTTAGCCCAGGCAGAGAAACATCTGAGCTAGTGCGCATGTGTACAGGACAGTCAAACATCTGGGACAAGAGAAGTGTTAGCAGTCACTGCTGCTGCTGCTTCTTTTCAGCTGCACTTAAATGGTTTTATGTAGGAAGCTGCGCTGATGAGGATACTCTTGCTACTGAGTGACAGGGAGAGCAGTGAGAAGCAGCATGGTATAAGAGAAAGTTTAAGTTCTGAGCAGTCACACAGACTGCCTTATATTCTAGCCCTACCACTTAATTGTTATGTGTTCCTTAGTTCTTGGAACCTCACTTTCTTTATCTATAACATAGGAATGATGATAATGGTACTTCATAAACTAATTGAGAATATTAAGGAGGTAAATGCATGTAAAGTGCATAGATCAAAGCTGAGTGCATAGACACTTTCCAAGAAAGACAGCCATCACCATCATCATTAGTTTGGGGACACTGGGGAAAATCTCCCAGGCAGTCACCCAGTTTCTAGTCACTCTCCTCTTTTCCATCTGGCACACAGAGAGTAAAACCATCTTTCAGCCCACTACCTTACCATGTCCCAACCTGCCCAAGACCATGCAGTAGATTCCCTCGGCCAGGAATATCAAACCCCAGTTCCTCTACTTTGGCTTTAAGACCTATCCGTGACTTCCTCTCCCAATGCTTCACTCTCTTTCCTTACTTCTCCCTTTTTGATAACAGTGTTTCACTTTTATCAAATTTTTCTTTCTGTCTTTGTATATTTGACTTATTTCTCTACCCTGGTACTAATGCTCCTGATGGTTTTCTCAGCTGAAATTCCCTCTCTGTCACCTCTGTGAAAGTCACACACTTGGGAGGAGACTGGGTTGGAATCCACTCTGATCTTTAGTAGCTGCAGGACCATCCCTGCTTAATTTTTTTTTTCAATCTTCAGTTTCTTAATCAATAAGGTGAAAATGGAAATATGTGGTTACATGAGATTGTTAGAACTAAATAAGATACTATATGCAAAGCAGCCAGTAGACACATAGTGGGTGCTAGGAGAAAGTTTCACAACCATCAGAACTTAGTGCTCACTTCTTTTCTTCCAGGACACACATACTCATGATTGCCAATAATATCTGTGGTCCTTAGCTATAACGTACTCAACTTGAGGGTGGTGGAAGATCTCCATAAATGCTGAAGTTTGAATTTTAGCTCCAGAACTTATTTGCTGTGTGTGAACTTGGGTAAGTTTCTCTATTTCTTTTAACCTCGATTTCCACATCTATTAAGAAATTACAAATCACATACAAAGAGTATAAAAACAAAATGAGACAGTGCATATAAGCACAGCATTGCATTTTAGAAATGTATTCCAAAAATAGCAAGTACCAGATATTATATTAGTTTGTACCCAGGATACTTTTGATTGTAAGTACGTATTTTGTCCCTGTAGCTTGACCTTTGTAAGGGCATGAATTTTTGTATTATAAATTCTTTGTACAACTTTAAGCTTCTTGCCAGTGAGAATTCTATACTTTATGGTCATTTTAAATGAATAAAAAGGATTTATCCCATTGGAATGGCTTGTTTCCAATTTAGAACTAAGCAAGAGATCAAAGGGTGATAGAAGGGAAAGGTAATAGAACAACCTAGACAGTGAATAGAAGAAAAAGCAGGATAAGGAAGGAGAAAGCTACCACAGTCCATCCTCCTCTGTAGAAGACATGGGCTGAGACTCCCTATATCCAGGAGACACTGCTCCCAAGTCCCTCCTGTCAGTACCCCACTGAGGTGTTGCTGCTGCGGGTCCAGACTTCCTCCTCCAATGCCATCCTTCTTCAAAGCCCAGGACTTCCAGCTCCCACAGCTGGAGTTAAGATTAAAAGTAATGGCAAAACTGCAATTACTTTTGCACCAACTTAAATAGGTGTTTCTGTTTTAGCCTAATTGTGCTCACCAGAGACCTAGGCATGCCTGCTTCTCTTGAGAGGCTTGGTAGCGGGAGCTGGGCTACAGAACTCCCTGGGAAAGAGCTAGCCTAAGTCAAAATCCAAGAACATAACTCAAGACCTGGGTTGGATGAGAGGCATGACTATGTGGGACTGTGAGACTTGCCCATCCTACACCAAGTATGGAGGGTTTCTTTTTTTTTCTTTTCTAACCAGCATTTCTTCGGTACCCCTTTGTGCACAAAGAATCTGAATAACACATCTGAAAATGAAGCTCTTGTCATAAAAGACTTACGTTTAATAAGATAACTATTTAGTGTTTAGTATCAAGCACCAGACTAAGAATCAGAAGACCTACATTTGGGGTCTAATTTCTCCCTCTGACTTGGAGCGTATCTTTAACTTTTCAAAGGTCTCTGATTCCTCCTCTATCAAACGAAAGGATTAGGCTGGATGGCTTTAAGTGCCTCAGAAGTCCAGCTATCTAGCCATAGTCTCTAATTCAGAGATCCTGAGGCTAACTTCAGACCTACAGACCCACTCTATTTTGGAAACCGTGGCCCAAGGGCATGTCTCACTTTTGCTTGTGAATTAATTGCCCTGGTTACTTTGGTCTTCCATGATTTTCCTCTTCTGCTGGGGGCTCAGAGGTGATACCTCTGTACTTACCAATGCTGATGCCAAATGTGACTGCTATATATGCCAAGACCCACTAATATGCCGACCACCTAAGGCTGCTAGTGACTGAGTTCATAAGCAATGAAATGGTTTCTGCTAAAGTCACTAGCAACATCTTTGGTTGCCGCTACAGGTCTAGAGAATAATGCTGCTATACCTTGGGCTCGCAATGTACCACAGAGATTTTTAGGGAGACAGCTTCTTTACCCATACTTTTACTATATCTAATTCATTCTAAGACTCAGGCATAGTTCTTTGTGGGTTGGGCTGGTTTGCAGCCTGTACCTTTCAAAATCACTTCTCTTCTTCAACCTTGGCCTTCTGGCCTTGAACAAGGGGTGGATAACACTATTTTCTTTAGCGTTCATTTTTTTCTTACCTACGCTTTATGGAGGCTCCTGAGCCCCTCATATATAGGACCTCTTCTTCTCAGGCCCACCCATTTCATCACCACAACATATCTAAATCTTAGGGTTATTAAAGTTTAAATTCAAACTGAGACCCCTGATATGATTATATGAGATAAAGGCTGGATGATCTGAGGATGAGGAACAAAAATTGAATCTGTTTGGAGGAAGCACAGTTTCCTAAAATACTGACAGAAGGGAGCACATTTTTATGCTTTGGAAACGCTAGAGGTCATAGCCCACCTCTGCAAAGTGAGACAGGAGGAGGAGTAGAAAGGAAGGAAAGAAGAAAAAGAAGCCAGTCTTTTTCTTCTCTCTCTCTTTAGACATCCTATTGTACTTCTCTACTTTTGTCCCTCTCTAGGGAATCCCAGCCTGCCTATTAATAAATATTCCCTTCTGGAATTCTAGAATATCATAATCTACTCTCTTAAGTATTTCTATGTAGGAAAACAAGCAAATCAATTAATATTTCATCACTGTTGCTACTACATGTAATTCAAGGTCTCTACATATTTGTCCTGAGCTTCTAATCTCATTGAGATTTACCTTAGCACTGAACAAGTATTCACTGAGATCAAAAAGCAGTTTGTCTGATTACTCTTTCTTAATTAGCATTTCTTCCAGTATAAATTATTGATGCCATCATCCCAGGAGTGTTTGATAATGCCTCTGTGTCTTAGGTTAATGTGTTTCTTAGCAAGATCCTCACATACTGGTCCTTCCTACTTATCCACATTCACTTCCACTCACTCCCAACATACCCACAAAACAGCCTTCCCAAACCCCCAACGCATATGCACTTCATGCACACATATGCACATGCACGTAAGTTATCACCTGTGAAACTGCATAGCGCAACCTCTACTGGTTGTTAGAGTTCAGAGAAGAGATATGTCTCTATAGTCTGGAAAGACTGGGAAAAGAGGGAAGTAACATGTGTTAAAGAGAATTAAGTCTGGGAAGTAGAGGTCAAAAGTTGGAGGGTCCTTATTGGTAGGATAGGGGTCTGTTTTAAGATAAGGGTTTGGGCAAGGGAGTGAAGCAAGGAGAATTATACTAGGGAGACTGATAGGAACTGCCTGCAATAATATAGTGCTGGCACAAGGAAGGAATTTGAGTTCTGGCAGGGGCATGGAGGAGAAATGTTATAAAGAATCAAGAAAACACAGATAAAGTTTTCACAGGCATCCCCACTGTTCTCAGGTACTCCTGACGCCAAGTCTCCTCTGAGGCAGATATTCCTAATTGTTCCACTGCAGCCATCCTCCTCTTCATCCAATGAAGAAGGATTTTGAGTTTTAGCTACACATATAATGAGTCTGAATATACATTACATTTTCCACCACCCATTACGCCTAGTTCTGGCCAATGACTAAGTTCTGGCCAATGGGAAGGGAGTGGAAGTAATGGAGAATTTCCAGGTCTTACCTTTAAAAGCAAGGGCCAAGAAAAAAAAAAAAATTTAATAAACAAATAGACTAAAAGTAAGGGCCATGCCTTTCACTTTCTTTCCCCCTTCCTCCAGTGGAATGAGGATGTGGTAGAGGACCCCATTGTGGACTATGCTGAGAAGGGCTACCCTGGGGCCCCTGCTTTTCCCAGAATGGAGCTGCCATACTAGTTTAGGTGTTTAAGAGTGTAAGAACTAAACTGTCTCATTTAAGTCCCTGTAATTATACATCTCTGTTTTGGGCAACTGAATCTATATCCTAATTAATACACTTTTTAATCTCACCAGTAAAAAGCATTTTGAAAACAATAAGGTTTAAATTAATTCAAAATCACACATTTTAAAAACAAAGAGATTTTACACATCAGAAACTAACTTAGGAATACCACTATCTTATTTTGAAAACTGTGTTGATAAGTGTTAGTGTTAGTAGTAGTCAACACCACCACCCCCAACTGGGTCTTCAGGGATCAGTGGATACCAAAGTTTCAGATAAGGAAGTTGCTTTTCCACTAGACAGAGAATAATATAGTGTTTTTTTTTTTTTTTCAGGTAACCCAAGAGGAACCAGATGGGAACAGAGATGAGAAAGATAAAGAGAAAAGCTGCATTGTGCAATTTGATTCTCTATGATTCTTCAGACATTTTCAGTGAAATACAATAAACCCAAGAATGTCTGATGTAAGTGCATTTTATTGGGTAAACCTGTTCAGAGACTGAGTTTTCTGTCTAGATTAACAAAGCAGACAGCAGCTGCAGAAAAAAGAGACAGAAAGCAGACAGAAACATGAGAGTATAAGCCCATAGGTATTTACAGAAATGGAGTAGGTTTTTCCACTTTAAAACTACGGACATTTGGGACTGAATAATTCTTTGTTGTGAGGACCATTCTATACATTGTACGGTATTTAGCAGCATTCCCGGCCTCTACCCACTAGCTGTCAATAGCCTCCTATCTCCTCCCAAGTCTTGACAATCAAGTCTCTAGATGTTGTCAAATGTTCCCAGTGGGCAAAATTGCCCTAGGCTGTTCCTGTTGGAACTTATTGCCCTAATCCCCCAATTTATGTGTTATTGGGGGACACAAATTTATGGGTCACCAATATGAAAATCATTGTTAAAGATGGGAGTCAGATTGACTCACTGAAGGAGAGAAGAGGAAAGGGCAACAGAATTGACCTTGGTGAATTCCTACCATTTGAGGCAGGAGGAGAACGCAGCTCAAAAAGCTAAATTGTATAATACTCAGAAACTATTTTATGAGATTGGCCTAATTGCCAAAGATTTTTCTCTCTGGAGAAGAAAGAATGATGAAGGAAGTATTAGGAAGAAAGAAACAATAGGGCATGGGTGATTAAATACAAGGAGTAAAAGACAGGGAGATCTGCCTGCATCTCTGTTCCTTATCTGGCCAACTCAGTCTTTTATATCTCTAGGTGGTCTTTCCAGAGCCCCATCCTCCAAGGCTATGTAAGGTCTTCCTGTCGTGTACTTGAATATCCCTTTCCTCTAATTGGCAAATGATTCCACTTTATGGCAACTGCTTATGTAGTGACCTGCCATCTGGATCCATGGCAGGAAAAAGCATGTCCACCTTACTCACTGTTGTATCCCTAGCACCTAACACATAGCTGATTCCTAGTAGATGCTCAAAAAACATTTGTTGAATGAATGAATGAATGAATGAGTAAATCAACAAACAAACTAATCTAATGAGACAGCTTTTATTACCTTCATTTTATTGGTAAGAAAACTAAAACACATATAGGTTAAGTGATTTTCTTGCGTAGGTTAAGGCCATATGACTAGTAAGTAGCAAAGCGTGACTGAGATCTAGACTTACATGATGTTAAATTTCAAGTCCTTTCCACAGTACTTCATCTATGTCTTGTTTGTATAATGGCATTTTGGGAATCTCCAGGGCCTTTCTGTTGCACAACTTTGAGTTCCAGCTCTCAGGAAGCGGAGGCAGGAAAATGGTGTGAACCCAGGAGGCGGAATTTGCAGTGAGCCAAGATCATGCCACTGCACTCCAGCCTGGGCGACAGAGCAAGACTCTGTCTCAAAAAAAAAGAAAAGAAAAGAAATGTAATTCTCACTGTGAGTGGTGCTTTTGGGGATGTGCAGTGCAGGAGTCCTGAGCCTCTCACTTCTAAAATTTCCAACACAGGTGTTTCGGTTTCTGAGAACCTGACTTATATCAGGTTCTACTCTATCTAAATATGATTCACACTCCAATTAAAATGCTGGCTAGATACACAGCTGAGTCCTTTCCACATATTCTCCTCCCTTCAAGTTCTTCCTAACTGAAAATTGGATTGAAAAGTAACAAAAAGGAAGTACAGGCAGTCTCTCTTTTACTAGCAGGCTATGTTCCCAAATCTTATTTAAATGGATTGTTTGGAATTTATAACATACTTTTTCATTTAAAAAATAAAATAAAAACTGTTCTAAGGAATAAATCAGTTTCCAGGTTGGACCATGGAGGTCATTTCACAAGTAGGTAAAATGAAATTCAATACAAAAAGTCTTTGTTCAGGTTCCTAGAAGTTGAAATAAAAGTTGCCTAAGTGAGGTGACAGATCCAGAAAAAGCCTTAAACAAGATGTTTGAAAACCTCTTGTCTTGTCAAACGTACTAGCATAAAGGCTCAATAGACAATACACCCTGTTACAAAACTACTGGCAGAAAGAATGGTTTACCACAAACTTCTCTAAGACTCAAATCATACTGTCTTCAAGACATTCTCCAAAATGTAATTGCCTTACCCCAAAAGTTCTATACTGCATAATCAATCTTTGATTATTGAGGATTACATTTTGAAACAAACTTGACTTGGTAGTGTCATAAGAATATTACATTGATTCATGATTACCTTTCTGCCATCTTGCCATCTCACATGTACGTCTAATATGCCTCTAAAAACATAAGGCCAAAACAAAATTCTCTCTAAATTTCCTCCTTAAATGCCTGTCTGCCCTGCCCAAATCTCTTTTTTCCCTAAAACCATTCCCCTTTTCACAAAATGCTACATCATCCACTTTGGTTGCTCAAGTCAAAAATCTAAAATTCAGAGTTAATTGCTCTTTTTTTCTTTATTACCCACCCTTCACATCCAAACCACAATAAAATTTTGTTTGTTCTACCTTTAATATCTGTTCTTAATCTGTCTACCTCTCTGCAACTTCACTGCTCCCGACATAGATACTGTTATCTCTCATCTGGACCATTGAAAAAGCCTCTAAACTCCTTTCCCTGACCCCATTTTTCCTCTCACATTTATCCTCCCTCCATTCCCTAGTACGGAAGAGCATGGGCTTTGGAGTAGAGGTACCAGGCATAAGCTATGGCCCTTTGCTATTAATGTAGCCTTCCCCAAGTCATCTTGGCATTTCCTGTTGTTTCCATTTAGCTCAAAGAGATGATCATTTGGACTCTCCATTTCATAAATCCAGTTCAGTGTTGTCCTGACTCCCATTGAGAGTGACCAGCCTTCAGGTCCTAGGCTATTCAAGTGCAAGAAATCTACCAGTCCTTTGAAAATATATAACTTAGAGTCAAGCACACCATTGCATTCCAAACACAGAATCATCTTCTAAGTTCTAACTGCTCTGTCATAACCAACTTGCATAGGTCAGCATTTGAGGATAACCTAATGAGCAAAGTGTTGCTGTGAAACGGCATCCAATTGGAAGGTCCCAGTCTCCACAAAGCAAACTGTCCTGGTGAGTCCTTACCAAGGCAGCTTTCTAGGTTCTTTCTATGGCTCCTCAAAAACATAGCTCACATTGTCCATTCTGCTTTTTTCACTCTGATCTCTTCAGACAGGACACTTCAGACTTCAGGATGCCATACTCCACATGGTCCCCAGGGCCTCAGCCCTGTTCTGGCTTACCCCCTTGCTCACTTGTCCAGCCCAGCATGGGGAGGAAGAGGTAAAACACTTAAGTAACATTAATTTCCACCAAACCACTTTCACTAAATTTCATTGAATGAATAAGTACTGATGGCCCTTTAACTTTTCCAGATATCTTTATATTTTTAAAGATGATGTGATCTTTAGAGTCAATGAGATCTCAGAAAATATAACTGCTTTTCTAGCAATTTATACAAAGTTATTTGGGGAAAGAAGACCTTCAGCTAAGCAACTTAACCCTTAACCCTATTTAGAAGTCTGGTCCCAAAATTAGCTCTGTTAAGTTTTTGTTTGTTTGTTTGTTTGCTATATCTTCTAAACCCAGAGTACTATATTGTCTGTAATCTACTTTATCATAAGATTTTAGATGTAGATTAGTTTAAATTATACTGTAGAGACAATCAGTTGCTGTAGTCAGTTCTATATTTACAAGACAGGGGCCAGCTAATATTTAGTTTAAAAAGCCAAACTTCATAGGAAATTACTACCAACAATTTTAGCTATCATTATTGCCCATTAACTCCAGAGGCTTTTTAGCATGATGAATGCTAGAAATGAATATTTCATTGGTGAAAGTATGAGCATTTTAGTTAGCTTAACATATACTAGATCTGGGTTGCTACTGATGAAAGCTGGTTCTCAAAACATCTGAATTGTCTATAATATTCTAGAGATGCTTTTTTTATATATAAAATTAGATATAAGAATTTAGAAAGATCTATAGCCTGTGCACTTAGAAGTCATGGCTGATGCCTGCTCCATAAAAGCTATGTTGAGCCATTTTGTAGGAAATTCTGGTTGCCTAATGCCCACAATAATTTTGCCTCTAGAATAGTACACAGATGATCTGTAACCACATTTGAAGTTCCTATTGATTATCAAGAAATTTCTATATCATGTATTCCTCTTATCTGTGGAAGCCTGGATAATACACTGTGGCCAGCTAGTAAAAATGGGTCCTGCCTTGATTTGACATGGCCAAATCATCTAAAAGAACAGAGTCTGGATCTTGAATCAGCTTACAGCATAAATTTTGTAAACTGTTGTGCCTGCTTGCTAATACATGTTTATTTAACACAGTAAATGTGGAAATTTAGGGAGAATTTGGTCTACTCTTTTCTTTATTCTTTTTTTATTTCTTTTTTTTTTTTTCATTAAGCAGCAAGATTATTGGGACATACTGAATTTCAACTCCTTCTAACCAATAGTGCCTACCATTCATGACCATGAAAATGAATTCATAACAAGTCCCACAAATGATTCAATACAATACAATTAGAACCAGAGACTTCTGTGCATGCCTGAGGTCTCGCATTTGATTTTCTTCTGAAAGACATGGAGCTGAGTTAATCAGTCTTCAATCTCTTATGTCCCTCTCCCTACAGAGAGAAAAATCCGTATATGTGCTGCCATGTTGACAAGAGCCTTTGCAGATGGTCTGTCCGTATGCTACAGTAGAACAAGAACAGCACCACTGAGCTCCTAGTGCCAGACAGAGGAAAAGAGGCAAGTTGGGAAAGAGAGAGGAAGAAAGGTATGAGTAAAGGTTGGCATTGGAAAGAAAACAGCATCTGTAGAAAAGCTGTAGACAGTTCCGCTTCCTTAAAGTGGAGAGTTAAACTCACCTTTTGACAGCATACTTTCTTTGCATAGGAGAATAACCCACAGTGGCCTTTAGACACATGAGTTTTACTAGAAATGTGACTGCATAGTATGGAGAAAGTCTGGAAAACACTGTTTATCACAAATGGCTTGGTTTTTGAATGGACTTTTTAAGTATTTTATTCAAACACAAATATTTGGCATCAAATGTTTCAACAAATGAAGTTTTAAAATGCAAATTAGCTTTACATTTGATAATTCCAAGATCATCATCAGTAACAAAAACACCTAAAACTTTCACCACCAGTGAGATGGAAAAGGATATTTCGACACTGGGGGACAAGGGAGGGGCATATGAGATTTTGCACTAGGACCCATTTTACTAACTGGCCACAGTACATTATCCAGGTTTCCACAGATAAGGGGAATACATGAAATAGAAATTTCTTGATAGTCAATAGGAACTTCAAATGTGATTACAGATCATCTGTGTACTTCAAAACAATCCCTAATGCAAGCAGAAGATGAAACAAGTCCTAGGCAGAAGTTTAACTGGGGACCAAAAAGGGAAGAAGGACAGGAGGCAGAAAGGAAGAAGAAAGAGGCCATCTCAGTCTCTTGGATTATGAAAATACAAAGCACCTTTTAAAGGTTGTGGCAGATTAAACTAAGAAGTAAGAAGGAGACCTGTCTACAGAGACTTACTGGCCACATATTGAGGTTTGGATACTGGTAGGTAAAGAGAAGCCACTGAAAGGATTTAAGTGAGAAAATGACAAATCAGATTTATATTTTTGGTTAAACAGTTGGGTTGCAGTGTGGAAGACATCTATTCTCAAATCATGAGAAACACATTTGGGTCATAAAAGTTATTATAGTCTATTTACAGTCTAATGAACTATATAATCATGTGCACATACACGTGTGTGGGTGTCTATAAAATCTATTAAGTTATATAGCATTTGGTAGTTTGTTGACAACGATTTAAAAAAGGAGTCTGTGATGTAGGCAGGCGTAATTACCTCCACTTAACAGATAAGAAAACTAAGCCTTAAAAGATAAGTGACTTGCCGAAGGTCACATAAATAATAAGGGCTGAAATCAGGCCTATGAAACACCTCTCTTTACTTCTAGTCTTATATTTTTCTGTGACTCTGTATGCTTAATAGTGTAGTCTTCTAATAAATTTACTATTTTTTTCAATTTACTCAATTGGGAAAGGGGTAGGGAATCACTTTGTTTTATCACAGGGAAAAACAGATGGGAAACACTTTGGGTTTTCCTAGCTATACAGGCAGAATGAGCAGGGACCTCCCTGCTCCCTGACTTTGCACATGCTGTTTCTCTGCCTGGAACACCTTCCTCCCTCAAATCTTTTTCTGTCCTCCCTTCATCTCCATATCACCAAGTCATCATTTCCAGAAGCCTTCCCAGATTTCCAATGCTGGAAACACGCTCTTCCTCTGCATTCTAATACTCAGAGGTCAAGTTTATCATGACACTTATTCTATATCATGAATGCATGTTTACCTCTGTGTTTCCTCACTAGACTGTGAACTCCTAAACATAGAAAATGTACCTCTTTTCTTCCTATATCCCCAATCCTGGCACAAGGCTTGGCACACTTTAAGTGCCTAAGAATGCTTGTTAGTCTGAATTGTTGAATAACATTTGCTGAAGGAGCTGCATGCAACCTACCAAGGTTAAAAATAAGATCTATTCCTTATGAAAAGAACCCCTGTACCTTGTACCAATCAGATCTCTATTTAAGCTCTAATCTCCTGTGCATGATTTATCACCAGAGCAACTGTCTGAAAATGCTTTTTCCTTATCTCACAGAGCCATAGTAAAAGCTAGTTGACTTTAAGCAAATGGTATTTTTGTCCTTCTATTTTTTCTCTTGCTATTTTTTCCCTTCTATTTACTTATCTACTGGCAGAAAGAAAAGAAAAATGACTTGGATCTCTATTTAGATATTTGATAGACAATGTTTACATAGGAATGGCTATAAATTGCTGGCTAGGCACAGTTTGAATATCTAAAACATGTTTGTTCTATTTTGGATTCCATTATGGCAGAGAAAAGAAGGGAAAAAACACATACCACATATATAGATGGACTTAAAGATTTAGATTTTTATTATTTCCAAGGCAATAGTTTATGATCAGCATTAACCACTGAAAGAAATGTATCTGACACCAAGAAAACTGAAGTTAGCAGCAATCTTCAGAGTTCAACGCAACCAGCCTTAGTCCTGCCCTAGTTCTGACCTGACTACAAACTGACTGTCTTGGCCAGGTGCATGCTGCAGGTGTCTCAGTTTTGTCCCTTGTAAAAGAAGGAATTAGGTACAGAAAAGACTTTGAAAAAAGTCCAATTCCATTTATTTCTCCCTGGATTCACCTCAACATATCTACACAGTTTGCTTTTTCATTGAACGATTTGATGGAATCACATGTTGAATGACCAGTCTGATCTCTTTCTGTCAGAAACACAGGTTCTCCTTACCTGGAAATGTGCTGACACCATTTCCAATATGAATATGAATATGTTTTTATGGCAATCCATATGAATTCCAAACATATGAATATGTTTTATGGCAATCTTTATGTTTTTTTCTTTATGAAACTGAACATTCATGTTTCACAGACTTAATACAATTTATTCTGTGTTCAACTACTTTCTAATCACGGATGAGCCACAATTTTTAAAAATGCCTTCCCAAAGTTGTAAATAAAATTGAGTATTGGTTCAAAAAAAGGATATATTGAAATAGTTGTCTCTCTTAGTGCTTTCAAAATTTCAATTGTTAAAATAGGTTCATGACATTTTATTTTCACACAATTCTGGAGAAACACATGAAATACAATCTGACAGTGACTTCATAAAACCTTAGGAAATTTCCCTTCCCAAATGATAAACAGGTTTCCCATATAGTCTTCCAGAGCTGAAGAGATATTAAGTAGCTCCAAAACTTTCCTTATGCCCAGACCTTATTACTCAAAAATGTTCTTTGGCCTCCATTATCATTTGCACAAAGTTCAACTTCTCACCTCTCCCTCTGCAATCTGGTCTCAACCTACTTTCCAGACTCATCATTCACTAATGCCTTCTCTTGCTGTTAAATTGAACTAAACCATGTGCCCCACTTTCCTCACATATCCTATATTTTCTCACCTCCCATCTTTGCTCACATAATCCTCCTTCCCCTGGTGCTACCTGTCCCTAAGTCTGCAGACATTTAGATGACACGATGTACATGACCGCCGTTAACCTAGTTTCTGAAACAACATAATAGGCTCTCAATCGATGATGGATGCTATTCACTCAATCATTCATATTTTGTTCATTCATTTGTGGATCTCTTACTCTGTTCTAAGCAAGGTTCTGGTTAACTTTAGGGTCAATAAGAACAGAATGACTACATAATTTGTAGGTATGGTACAAAATGAAAATTCAGACTCTGTTATAAAATAAGAATTTCAAAACAGCGATAACAGTGCCTTAGAAGCACAGGGCTCTTCTAACTACATATCCCTGTGTGACTACACAGACTGCATACCCGTAAGACTAGCCCTGAATAAGACACAGACTTTATGAGCTCCCCGACCCAAGGAAGCTTGGGTTGGGGGTAGACAGGCAAGCAAAAACAATCACTATATAAGTGCTGTGAAATGTGTAAGCACGGATGCTGTGGGAAGATGGTGATGGAGCACTCAACCCACATTAGGGTAAAGATGGTGAGTGGGAGGGAGTTGAGAAAATCTTATGGAAAAAGGCCATGCCTAAACTCAGTTTTGCAGTTCATACTGGAGTTGGAAAGGCAAGAAAGAGGGAGTAGCAACAGAAGGGTCCCTCAAGAAATGAAATAATCCAGTGCAAGGGACAGGAAATCAGAAATGTGTCCAAATCTTACTAATCCTTTAAGGCAATGATTTTCAAACTTTTTGAACATGAATTACAATAAGAACTGTATATTTTGACCTAGGACACACACTGAACCAAAAATTCCAAAAAGCAGTACTCATCCTTGCAATGTGCAGTCTCTCATCTCTTTCATAATAAATTTATGACCTGCAATCTGAAGAGCCCTGCTTTAAGGACTGCCTCAAATGTCACCTCCTTGGCAAACCTCCTGATATCTTTAGGCCCTAGCCATTTGAACTCCTGCAGGGGTCCTTCTTGACACTTTGCTTTCTAATATCTGTGATGTGCCATGTGTCTCCTGTTAGATTATAGCTTGAAGGCCCCTTCAGATGCTCTGCAAATAGTAGGGTCCGATAAATGTTTACTGAGTGACAGGGCAAGCAATCCATTACCTTCCTCAATCCTCAGATCTGACATTTTCCTTATGACTACCAGTGCTTTGTATTGTTCTCATTTTCCACCATTTTAAGAAACTGGGCTCTATTTTATTAATCTAATAACAAATTGTGCTTCTAGCATCCTAAGACTTTCTACTGCGAAAGCAGTCTCTCTTACAGGTCTTTTTTACTTAAAGAGAAATTACTCTTGCCTTTGCAGGTTTTAAAACATGTCAATGATAGTAACCTTAGTTTTTTATAACCCCCAAGGTCCAGGAATTTTTACATGCATTTTATTATAACATTATTAAATCCACCTGTGAATCAAGTAACATTGTTAGGACCATTAGTTCCCATAAGTTCAAACAGACTTAAATGTATCTGATCCAAAGGCCATGCTCTCTCCATGATGTTAGTTATATTAAAGTAGTGACAAATTGTATCTACTGATGCACATTTGGCCGATAAAGAGCCAGATGGACCCAGCAGCCAGCAAGTGATTCTAGGCGTGGCAGTAACTTTGTTAGAAGTCTGTGGTAAATCACAGTTCCTTACTTTCTGGGCTTTGTGTGAAGCCCAACTTCCTGCCTCCCTCACTGGCTTGGCATTGATGTCCTTCCCTGATGTCTTCTCATGAGCACTGAGCTATTTCCAAACCTACACTAGATATGTCACATCAGATTCTAAAGGTTAGCCATTCTTTTTCTGTCACTTATTTGTTGTTATGTGGAAGTGGTCTGTTTCATTGTCCCTTCGGGGACAGGAGCAAGAAAGTATTTCCTTGTTTTCCTGGGAGTCATGTAAAGGATTTAATGTAAGTTAGAATTAAGTCCAAATGTTTTCAGAGATTTTCCCTTGGCACATTGGCTTACACTTACTGTTAGGTTCCAGCACCAGCCAAGGTCTGAGGGGAGTTGGGGGGTGGCGGGTAGCTGAAAGAATACTCACAAGACCATAGGTAGTGGGACATGGCGTATTCAGCAGCTCCCTCACACTGTCGGTGCTGCTTTTATACACCTTACAGACAATAGTGGCTCAGAGGCAGGCAGTGAACATCCCCCATGTGATGGCTACAAAGCTGTGATTTGTATAATGCACAGGATTGTGCGCCTGTGCTCCAATCCCGCTGTGTCACGCTATGCCGGATGTGTACCTCCGCCTGTACTTGACTGCAGTGCAGCCATTGTTCTTAGTCTTACTTAGACCTCTTCCATCACAGAGGCCATGTATGCACACTACCTAGGTCTGCCAAGGCAGAGACAGCTCTTCAATGTCTCTACCTCGCCTGTACACTTGAGATAGGAAGTCTCTTGTAGAGTAAACCCAGAGTATGAAAACATTATGAACAGGAGATACTATGAAGGCTCATTTCTAACCTATAAGAAGAAAATGTTTGCCAGAAGACAGTGTGGTAAAGTGGCAGGAGCCTAAACTGGGAGCAGAAGGCCTAAACAATTTCAAAATGAAATGTTATATATGGAAGTGCTTTGTGAGCTTTTTATAGCAACACCAATAGAAAGAATCGAGACGTATTTTTGACTCCTGATACTGAAAGGTAACTTTCAGCTGGGTCAACTCCCTCATTTGAGGAAGGTGAGACTCAGAGAAGTCACCGCTGCCTAGAGCTAAGCCCAGGCTGTAGCCCAGACCTTCTATTTATAGAATGGGACCAGGTGTCCCATCATGCAATCATGCACATTTTTCCTGGGGATTAGTTATGTGTACCTCTTATTTCTCAGGCCACACTTTTTTTCTATTACCCAAGATCTCATGTTAAAATAAACCTTTCACTAGATTCAGGATACTTTAGATACTTGGGGCTCCGATTCTAAGAGAACTTGGAGTAAGCAAGGCCACTCCCAAGCTCCCAGGTGAGGGTCCATGCCTATGTCCTCTGTAGATCAAGACCTACATGGATCCATGTCTAGGCATTCTCTGGTTCTGGTGG